AAGCTAACGCTCCAGTTAAACGGCTAGAGCAGTTTGGTTAAGGGTAAGCTAACGCTCCAGTTAAACGGCTAGAGCAGTTTGGTTAAGGGTTAGCTAACGCTCCAGTTAAACGGCTAGAGCAGTTTGGTTAGGGGTTAGCTAACGCTCCAGTTAAACGGCTAAAGCAGTTTGGTTAGGGGTTAGCTAACGCTCCAGTTAAACGGCTAAAGCAGTTTGGTTAAGGGTAAGCTAACGCTCCAGTTAAACGGCTAAAGCAGTTTGGTTAAGGGTAAGCTAACGCTCCAGTTAAACGGCTAAAGCAGTTTGGTTAAGGGTAAGCTAACGCTCCAGTTAAACGGCTAAAGCAGTTTGGTTAAGGGTAAGCTAACGCTCCAGTTAAACGGCTAAAGCAGTTTGGTTAAGGGTAAGCTAACGCTCCAGTTAAACGGCTAGAGCAGTTTGGTTAAGGGTAAGCTAACGCTCCAGTTAAACGGCTAGAGCAGTTTGGTTAAGGGTAAGCTAACGCTCCAGTTAAACGGCTAGAGCAGTTTGGTTAAGGGTAAGCTAACGCTCCAGTTAAACGGCTAGAGCAGTTTGGTTAAGGGTAAGCTAACGCTCCAGTTAAACGGCTAAAGCAGTTTGGTTAAGGGTTAGCTAACGCTCCAGTTAAACGGCTAGAGCAGTTTGGTTAAGGGTAAGCTAACGCTCCAGTTAAACGGCTAGAGCAGTTTGGTTAAGGGTAAGCTAACGCTCCAGTTAAACGGCTAGAGCAGTTTGGTTAAGGGTAAGCTAACGCTCCAGTTAAACGGCTAAAGCAGTTTGGTTAAGGGTTAGCTAACGCTCCAGTTAAACGGCTAGAGCAGTTTGGTTAAGGGTTAGCTAACGCTCCAGTTAAACGGCTAAAGCAGTTTGGTTAAGGGTAAGCTAACGCTCCAGTTAAACGGCTAAAGCAGTTTGGTTAAGGGTAAGCTAACGCTCCAGTTAAACGGCTAGAGCAGTTTGGTTAAGGGTAAGCTAACGCTCCAGTTAAACGGCTAGAGCAGTTTGGTTAAGGGTAAGCTAACGCTCCAGTTAAACGGCTAGAGCAGTTTGGTTAAGGGTAAGCTAACGCTCCAGTTAAACGGCTAAAGCAGTTTGGTTAAGGGTTAGCTAACGCTCCAGTTAAACGGCTAGAGCAGTTTGGTTAAGAGTTAGCTAACGCTCCAGTTAAACGGCTAAAGCAGTTTGGTTAGGGGTTAGCTAACGCTCCAGCTACATGGCTAAAGCAGTTTGGTTAAGGGTAAGCTAACGCTCCAGTTAAACGGCTAAAGCAGTTTGGTTAAGGGTTAGCTAACGCTCCAGTTAAACGGCTAGAGCAGTTTGGTTAAGAGTTAGCTAACGCTCCAGTTAAACGGCTAAAGCAGTTTGGTTAGGGGTTAGCTAACGCTCCAGTTAAACGGCTAAAGCAGTTTGGTTAAGGGTAAGCTAACGCTCCAGTTAAACGGCTAGAGCAGTTTGGTTAAGGGTAAGCTAACGCTCCAGTTAAACGGCTAGAGCAGTTTGGTTAAGGGTAAGCTAACGCTCCAGTTAAACGGCTAGAGCAGTTTGGTTAAGGGTAAGCTAACGCTCCAGTTAAACGGCTAAAGCAGTTTGGTTAAGGGTTAGCTAACGCTCCAGTTAAACGGCTAGAGCAGTTTGGTTAAGAGTTAGCTAACGCTCCAGTTAAACGGCTAAAGCAGTTTGGTTAGGGGTTAGCTAACGCTCCAGCTACATGGCTAAAGCAGTTTGGTTAAGGGTAAGCTAACGCTCCAGTTAAACGGCTAAAGCAGTTTGGTTAAGGGTTAGCTAACGCTCCAGTTAAACGGCTAGAGCAGTTTGGTTAAGAGTTAGCTAACGCTCCAGTTAAACGGCTAAAGCAGTTTGGTTAGGGGTTAGCTAACGCTCCAGCTACATGGCTAAAGCAGTTTGGTTAAGGGTAAGCTAAAGATCTTGTGAAATGAAACCCAGCGTCTATGCTAAAGAGAAAATCTAGACATACAAATCTATTGACACATACAACGTTGAACCTTCTCTTCATGTCCAGGACGTTGAATACTGAGCTTCTCAGATGGATCTGTGTATTTAGGACAGATCTACTGCCGAGAACATAAAACACAGCTATACAAGACGGTGATAGAGGTATGCTTTTTTCCGTCTTTGACGGCGGTATTCTTAAGAACTGGAGTCAGGTTTTTTTTTTTCAGCCTTTTTGCCGTAAGTAGAAACGCTGAAGAGAGACGGGGGGGGGAGACATTTAGCAAAGGGCGACGGTCGGATTTGAACCCACAGCCACAGCTAATACCAGGACTATAGCCTCTGTAAATTTGTATTATGGACTCAGAAAATAGAAACAACAAACACTTTGAATAAAACATAAATACTCAAAACTGAGAATGTATTAAAACCATCATTTAAACCAAAGTAACAGTGGATAGAGTCAGAAAATGAGAGACAGTAAGGGAGCAACAGGCCGGATTCACACATGGCCCGCCCGCTTGGAGGACCATAGCCTGGACATATGGGGAGCACGCACTAACCACTAGACTACCGGAACCTGATTACATTTTATTTGTCGATCACCTTCTGGTGAAATGGTCTGGGGAGAAACACCTTCAAAATGCTCTGTTTGTTCTGTCACATATTAAAATCTTTGTTTCATTTCCGTATGTGTTACTTTATTGAAGGTTCATGTGTTCACTCTGGATGTGACCCAGCTGATGATTACAGAGGCTTAGATTTCTTTTTTGGACACGTGACGCTGGGAGAATATTCACCTGTGGTTAGGGTTAGGGTTAGGGGTAACCCTAACCCGGGGGGTAATAATGCAAAGGTACACAGAACGGTAGATTAACGACAGGGCAGGTAGACCAAAAATATAAAGTGTCTATTTAAATACAAAAGTTAAAATAGAAGCTAGATCAAAAGAGTGGAGATAGAAGTGGACAGTGATGGGACTAACACATCTAACCAGAACTGTATATTTATATTTACAGAGACATGTGCAAGTAGTACTAAATGAAATATAAAACCACAGAACTAAATATATATGAGAGCTATATGAAAAAGATAAACACTGAATGAATAACATGATGATGGATAAGATACAACAGGAACAGATACCCCCTTTCATAAAGTCTGGGGTGGAGAATGGTGAGCAGTGAAACAGGAAGGTAACACCTTTCTGCACTTTACACCCTGATAAACTGATACATGACCAGGATCAGTCCTCCTCGGACTCTCTGCTGTTAATGAGTAATTAAAGCTAATATAGATTAAAGATAATCTGCTGACTCAGTGATGTGTCAGAGGTTATGGTTTAACAAAGCATCTGAAACAAATCTAAACCATGTCCCCTTCCAGACGTTGAGGCTGTTTAGTCATGTTACTTTCCATGAGTATGATTCATTGGCCGGTTTCCTGAGCAGTATTCTGAAACCAGATATCTCCTCCATATAACCAGATGAGGGTTTCCACCATACATCATTGTATGCTGTCAAACAATAAACCTGTTTCAACCCCCAACAACCATTAATCTAAAGGCCTACGGGGTCATTGGTTTCAATTCCCAACAATTGCTAACTCATGTAGCCAACGTTGCTAACGACAGCTGAGCTCCCTCTGTCATTATCAGCAGCAGCTTTTTTTTTAAGTCATACGACTAAAGATCTGTAGTTTATAAAAGCTTCAGTTCCCAAACTTCCCATAATTACAGAGATTGTGTTGTTTTAAAACACCTGCTAGAGGCTATTGAAAATGTTGACAACCTTTATCCTTTTAAAGCGCTGGTAATCCAGACTTTGTTTTCCTGAGAAGTCTGAGTCCGGATCAGGGATAAAACTGAGGCGGATTAGAAAACCCTTTAAAGAACTGGGTCCTGGATTGCAGAAGCTATATGAATAAATAATTGACTCTTCTGTGAGGTGAATTTAGGATGGTTGAAATCCCTCGTCTGTTCCTGCAGGAGGCGCTGGAGTCCCATCGATGGCGGTCTCCATGCTGGAAATGCTGTCTCAGTCTAACTTTCAGTCAACCTAACGACAGGCTGAGAGCTGGAGCTGAGGCGGGTTTTAAACCTCCTGACAAACCGTTACATCGCGCCCACCTGTCAATCAGGTCAGCTACACGCCTTATTGTGAATAACTCTTATCCTTCATCAAATCAAAACTGATGAGTCATCAAAACATTCACCCCCCCGTACAGTGTGTGTCCATCCAGACATGAGCTAATCACACCTATTTGGTTTTTTGAACCAGGCTGTAAACATGTTCATCTCTGCTGTAAAAACAGGCTTTTTAGAATGGGTGTGTATGTGACTTCCTGTGCTTCTGCAGCCAGCCTCTAGTGGACACTCCAGGAACTGCAGGATGTTACACTTCAGCATCGGCTTCATGTTTCAACACCGGAGGTTACTGCTAGTTTAACTCGTTACCTGAACCATTTTCTGACCTTTTAGCAAATAAATCAGAAATAAATAACATGATATAATGAAAAGGTTATTTGATAGGCGAAACAAACATGGCAGCTTTCTTCTGCCAGTTTCTTTCTCGTTGTCAATAACAAACTGATTATATTTTGGTCCGTTTTGGCTTTCTGTTTTCTTAAGATAAATTAAAAATAGTTTGATTTAAGTGTAATAAAATTCATCAGGTGAAACCGTCCGTGCTATTAAAATATGTGGAATAAAATAAATTGTGTGTAAAAATGAAGCTGTCTCTGTTTGAAGGCGACAATCAGTTTACGGTTTTTAACAACACCTTCAAAATAAAATGTCAAGTGTAGTCTTCTCACAGGTTAGGTAGAAAAATGATGGAAAGGGGCGTTTAATGAATTAGTGTGACTACCAGGCTGTATACGGAGGTCAGAAAGAATTGAAAAATGCATCACAATACATTTTCTTCAAGAAAAGTTGGACACTTGAAATGCATGATGACTTCACATGCATTTTATTTTGACAGCAGTGAGCGGAAGAGGTCGTCTTGTTTTGGCGGGCTTGACGCAGCAGCGGGCTGTGGTTGGCTCTCCCGGCTGGCACGGAGCCGCTCGGTTGTTGTTCTGATCAAAGATGGCTGCTGTTGTCACGGATGGAGAATGAGCCCAGGCTGTCATCCGAACACAGGCCGAGGAAACGAAGACAACCCCGCCCAGAAACAGGCACCGGAACCCGGCTGGACCCGAATCCAACCCGCTTAACCCGAATCTGATTCTCTTGTGAAGGTAAAGACTTTTTCAGCATCCTCTCACGTCATCGATCCGTGTTTGATTGACACTTCAGTCGTCGCTGATTTGATGAGAAAAAAAATCGGTGAAATGTTGAATTCCTACAAATTAAACATTAAATCAGACAATGAAGAGTTTATCTGAGTTTATCTGAGTTTATCTGAGTTTATCTGAACGTGTCGTGTTGTGTTTATTCAGTCTTTCTGTATGAAGGTTATTCAGGTTACACTGGAACTGACGCGACGGTAACATCCATGACACCGGTGTAACGTCAAAATGTGAATCCCATGTAAATAATGTGCAGGGCGTCACCTCGAGGCTAAAGCTCTTATTGAACTGACAGCTTTAAATAACCGAGTATTCCTGTTATATCAGGACATTACGTGTTAATAAAGATATTTAAATCCCTGCAGCACATTGAAGATATTATTAATCATGTAATCATGGTCAGCAGGAACAGGTGCAGACAGATTAATATCTATTCTTTGATGTGTTATTGTTCTTTTACTGTAAGAAAACAGTATTAATAAATAAAGGCTGTACTGCTGCATGTATTTAATACACCCCATAATATCTGTGTATCAGACTGCTGCTAACACTTCTTAGAATATTAAATAATGAAAACAATCAAAGGATGATTTGACTTCTGACATCGATGTTTTTTTATTGTATTAATTTCCATTATTACAGTGATATAATAATAATTCACTCTGCATTATAAGGATTGTGAATCTTGGATACTGTTTCCATGGTGACAACAGGCCGCCTCTGATTGGTGGTTTAACTCCATAAGGCTTATGGGTAGTGTAGTGATGAACGTTATTGATCTCCACAGGAGAGTCGGTGAAGATCAAGAGGTGTGATTGGCTGGTGGACCATGCAGGTAGTTTCCATGGTAACAGTTAGAAATGAAATCAGTCTGAAAGCCCCTTCATACTGTGTGTGTGTACTGAAGTGATATCAGCGTGGAGCAGAGCACAGAGAGAAGTCTGCGTGGTGCTCTGAGGTCAGTTCAGGGAGCAAACTTTAAAGGAAGCTGCTGAGGGTCAAACTTCAGTCAGACTGTGAAACGTCTGAACTCCAGGAAGGAGACGACCAATTCAGGCCAATCATTCAGGACATCACTCTCATTATGAAAACATGTAAATATGAGTGAAGGCAGCAGAGATACATAAGTCAGTCCTGAGGGGGGCGCTAGAGTCTGGAGAAGCTTGGAGAGTGAGTCAGTCCCCATAGAGCTCCATGTTAAAATGTTTAACTTTACAGCTGCAGTTCCTCCAGTGTCCACTAGAGTCTGTCTCCTGCAGTGAGTCAGTCCCCATAGAGCTCTATGTTAAAATGTCTAACTTTACAGCTGCAGTTCCTCCAGTGTCCACTAGAGTCTGTCTCCTGCAGTGATGTTGTTCTGTCTCCTGTCAGCAGGGGGCGTAGTGACAGACAGCAGACATGGACACCACCACATCCATCAAGATGACCACTCTGGCCATCCAGAACCTGTTCAGCTATGTGGAGGAGGAGAACCTGGCCGCCCTCAAAGCTCACCTGGACCGCTTTAAGGAGGTGGACGGACGCAGCGACGTACGTTTATCTTTATTATTTTTATCGATACGTCTTTTATAAACATCCAACAATCAGTTCTTTGTGTATTGTTCTCTATACGTTTCTGTTTCGTGCTGCTGGCTGACTTGTTTGTTTGTTTGTTTGTTGACAGAACGGGCAGACCCCTCTCATGCTGGCGGCTGAACAGGGCAGTCTGGAGATCGTCCAGGAGCTGATCAGGAGAGGAGCTAACGTCAACCTGGACGACGTGGTGAGCCAATGAAATGCATGATTTATTTATTCTGACTTCCCCTTTCGCCTCCCTCCTACCTGGGATGCTGTGGTTGCTAGGAAACGGAGCTAATCATGTTGCCATGGTAACCGCCTCTCTCTGTGGTCAGGACTGCTGGTCGGCTCTGATCAGTGCGGCTAAAGAAGGTCACATCGACGTGGTGAAGGAGCTGCTGGAGAACAGCGCCTACATCGAGCACAGAGACATGGTGAGGTCACATGACACAGCCTGCGTTAAGAATCATGGGAAATGTAGTAAACAGTAGGAGTGACATTTCTGTGACGTGTCAATAGGGTGGCTGGACGGCTCTGATGTGGGCCGCTTACAAAGGACGAGTGGATGTCACCGAGCTGCTGCTGGAGCATGGAGGAAACCCCAACACTACAGGACAGGTAACACACACACACACACACACACACACACGCACACACACACACACACACACACACACACTACAGGACAGGTAACACACACACACACAC